ATTTGATACCCATATTGTAGAAGTGCATTAAAAACAATTATTACGCCGTCCTGGATGGTCCGCCATATTGGATTTAAAATGACGTCACATTATTTTCCGAGTTACTCTCAACAAGTCTTTTTATTTGATACCCATATTGTGGAAGTGCATCACAAATAACTATTTCGCCATCTTGGATGGTTAGCCATATTGAATTCAGAATGACGTCACATTATTTTTCGAGTTACTCCCAACGAGTCCTCTCATTTGATAGACATATTGTAGACGTGCATTAAAAATAACTATTCCGCCATATTGCATTTAGAATAACTTCACACACAATTTATCGTGCATTGTCATCCAAACTAAACGTGTATACAAAATTTCAGCTCAATCGGTTGAAGATATCTACCTCAAAATTGAGTTAAAAATTCCACCCGAACTAACATACATACATCCATACATTGTAAGTTGAGTAAGAGCTTTTAAAAATAGGGGAAATTATTCGTGTATAGTTTTGTAATGCCTTTTGAAGATAATCTTCTCACGTTTTTTCTTGAATAATTCGAAAATCGCGGCCTCTAGGGAGAAAGTGTAAATATGCAGAATTGAACAACATGAAATTGGCTATAAAAAAAGGCTCTACATTTTTCTTCTTCTTGAATTGCAAACTGAACACATAATAATATAATAATAATATACTTTATTTTCCTTTGGATAGTTACAAAAACTATATAGGAAAAGTCACGAGAACAAAACAGTAAAATAATATTGCATCCTTAAGATAAATAATCTTTAAGGGATTAGTAACATGATGAAGTCGAGAATTCATTGAGTTGGCTTTTGAAACCGTTAATCTTCACGATAGTCTTCAAATTATTGGGTAGTCTATTGAAAAGCTTTAGTGCAAAAACCTTTGGTTTATTTTCTCTGATTTTGAGTTTTGCAAAGGGTACATAATAATTATTTTTCTGCCTAGTATGATGATTATGAAGGTCACTATTTAAATTGAGTTCTTCCTTATTCCTAAAAACAAACATACACATTTCAAATATACAGGGTGTCCTTAAAAGTTCTTTACAAAAAGCTACCACATATTCTTCAGACCAAAACAATTCGATACAAGCAAACTTACCTCAGTAAAAAGTTGCTTAGTTTGGGCGCTAGACGGCTCTGAAGTTGAAATTTTCAAATCGATTTTGATTCATAACTTTGGAACGGCTCATGAGATTTTTTTCAAATTTGGTACGTTGGCATAGACTCATCGGGCAATGAAACTCATATCATAATCATAATGAATATCATTCCATGGGCGTAGAACTTGATTTTTTCAGGAAATAAACATCTAAAACTTCTACGCCAATGAAAAAAAATCAGTTTCAGTATGACATCTAGATAGCCCAAATCATTCACTACAAAAAAGGTACTCTTGATAAAATTCGATTACTCTGATGGTTTCGACAATATTTAAGTTTTAGTGATTTCGCGCATATTTAAATAATAAAACGATTGATAGATATTGCATGAAAGTTTTCCAAAATGTTCACTATTTTCGCGTGAACAAAGATTTATACGACGCAAAAAGTTGAAATCCTAATCATAATGAATATCATTCCATGGGCGTAGAACTTGCTTTTTTCAGTAAATAAACATCTAAAACTCCTACGCCAATGGAAAAAGTTAGTTTCAATATGAAATCTAGATTGTTCAACTCATTCACTACAAAAAAGGTACTCTTGACAAATGGTCGAATGGTTTCGACAAAATTTTAATTTCAGTGATTAAGAGCATAATCAATAATAAAACGATTAACAGATATTTCATAAAAATTGTTCAAAATGTTCACCATTTTCACGTATACAAAGATTTATACAACGCAAAAAGTTGAGATGTACTTTTTGCATAGGTTATTTCTATTGAAAATAAGTAGCACTGGTTTTTTTTTCTGAAGACTATTATTATCTGCTCGAAAACAGTGATATTCACATTCTTGGTTTCCATAGTTTCATCTGTGTTGATTTGTCGAGTTTTATTGACGTTGATTGTTGATATCGGACTTTTCTGATTTATCATGGCCGTACAATACACCAATGAAGAATACACCGATATGTTATTGGTATTCGGATATTGTCAAGGAAATGGTCGAGAGAGTGTGAGGGTGTATTCGGCAAGGTTTCCAAATCGTCGCGTACCAAGCCACCCAACCTTTGCTGCAGTTGAGAGACGTCTTCGGGAGACCGGTCATTTTGCTCCTAGAACTGGTGATTATGGAAGACAGCGTTATGTAAGGATTCCCGAAGTCGAAGTAGAAATTTTAGACCGTATTGAAGAAAATCCAGAATTGAGTACTAGACGGATAAGTAATGAACTAGAAGTTTCTAGGAATGCCGTTCATGAAGTACTAAGAGAACAATTATTATACCCATACCACAAGACGCCAGTTCAAGATTAATTAATCCATGATTCACAAAGTCGTCTGATGTTTTGTAGGTTCATTAATTTGCAAAGAGAAATGAATCTGAACTTTGGAAAGAATATTTTGTTCACTGATGAAGCCTGTTTCACGAGAAGAGGAATAACTAATTTTCATAATGAACACGTTTATGCAATTGAAAATCCTCATTCCATTAAAATAAACCATTTTCAACACGAATTCAAAATCAACGTTTGGGCTGGAATAATAGGAAATTTTATAATTGGTCCTGTCATACTTCCACAAAGATTAACAGGAGACATGTATTTACAACATCTACGAAATACGTTGCCAAATTTGTTGAAAGATTTACCACTCCAACATCGGGTAGATATGTGGTTTATGCACGATGGAGCTCCACCACATTTTTCGGTGGATGTTAGGAATTTTTTAAACCAACAGTACCCAGACAGATGGATAGGTAGAGGTAATGATGCACCCGTGAATTGGCCACCACGTTCTCCAGACTTAACACCGATGGATTATTTTGTATGGGGTTATCTCAAGTCTACGGTTTACAAGACCTTTGTGAATACTGTAGAACAATTATGGCAACGTATCCAACAGGCGACGAATAATCTTACAGGCGATGAAGAAGTTATGCAAAGAGTACATTTCAACTTTTTGCGTCGTATAAATCTTTGTATACGTGAAAATGGTGAACATTTTGAACAATTTTTATGAAATATCTGTTAATCGTTTTATTATTAATTATGCTCTAAATCACTAAAATTAAAATTTTGTCGAAACCATGAGAGGAATCGACTTTTGTCAAGAGTACCTTTTTTGTAGTGAATGATTTGGGCTATCTAGATGTCATACTGAAACTGATTTTTTTTCATTGGCGTAGAAGTTTTAGATGTTTATTTCCTGAAAAAATCAAGTTCTACGCCCATGGAATGATATTCATTATGATTATGATATGAGTTTCATTGCCCGATGAGTCTATGCCAACGTACCAAATTTGAAAAAAATCTCATGAGCCGTTCAAAAGTTATGAAGCAAAATCGATTTGAAAATTTCAACTTCAGAGCCGTCTAGCGCCCAAACTAAGCAACTTTTTACTGAGGTAAGTTTGCTTGTATCGAATTGTTTTGGTCTGAAGAATATGTGGTAGCTTTTTGTAAAGACCTTTTAAGGACACCCTGTATAAATACCAGTTAGACAGAATTTTGCATTCCTTGAAAATCGGTCTACAAGAAGTTCTCCTATGGCGGACGAGTATTGTAATTATGATCCGATTCTATTCAAAATTGGAATCTGAGGGTTTTTGGGGTCGGAGATTATGCATATTAAACATACATCGTAATATCCTCTTTTGTGCTACCAACACGTCGGTCACTGCTACTGAATTACCCCACAAACAAACTGCATATCTCAGTCGAGAGTCTACTTGAGCAAAGTATAAGTTCAAAAGTTGTTGTTTATTCAATAAGAATCTTATATTCCTCAATAGCAATGTAAGAGGAGATAATTTTGGGGCAAGATTCGAGCATTGAGATCTTCAGTTGAGACATTCATCCATAGAGACACCTAAAAATGTGACAGTTTTCTTTTGTTCAACATTTGCATTATCACCAGCCAGATTTATAGGTCCTGCACTTTTTGGCCATATATGAAATCTCACTAAGTTAGTTTCAGTTCGATTGAGGTAAAGATTATTGGAAGAAACCCAGGTACTGAGAGAGTCTAGTACTACACTACTCTTGGCAGCAATATTGTTATCAATTTTGTCTGATATTATCAGAGATACATCATTAGCACATAATATAAAATTGGTATTGGGTGATATGGCACTTATTTCATTTATATATATGATAAACAACATAGGGCCCAATATAGATCCTTGTGACACCCTCATGTTAACGTCCGCAAATGAAGAGACATTTGTATTTTCTCTCTCATTTCTATAATTAATGCAAACAAACTGCTTACGCTCAGACAACAATGATGTAACCCAATCAAGTGGGGTTCCTCGAACACCAATATCTGCTGAGACCACAGAAGATGCCAACAGGGCACTCGCTATGCTCCACGAAATTAGAGAGGATATCTTAAAAGGCTGAAACCATGCTGGCAATCAGAGATCATGTTATATTTATTCAGAAAAATGCTAAGTTGCTCCAAATAATAGTATTCTAAAATTTTAGAAAATACAGTGATAGGTCTGTAATATTCAATTTTTTGAGGCTCTTCTAAAAAACAGGTGTAATCTTACCAACTTTTATTTTATTAGGAAATTTTCAAACGATAATTTTACAAGATATGTTGAAGGTTTTGTAATAAAACAGAGGATTCTTCTTATGTGAAATAATGGAATTTCATCAAAACCCGATGATTTTTTATTTTTCATTTTAAATGTGATCAAACTGAACAGTTCAGCTTTGTATGTTTCTAAGTAGAATGTATGATTATTCACTACTTTAGGAAAGCGATCTGGTACAGCTGTATTTTCGACCATCTTAGGAATATAATCAACAACATCATACTCATAAGCGTATTAGACGAGTGTGATTCATTTCCTAAAGTGACTTTGAATTTTTTTTAGGATAAAGGATGTCCTACCAGAGTTGGCTCAAAGTTGCCCGAGACAGACAGAAGAGAAGGCAATATGTGATAGTAATATAGTTGAAGAAGTTCATACCGAGTATAATGATCTATTTGGACAAATCGTTTTCGATAAATCGGTCAAAGTAGAGGACTATCCGTATGCAATCAAGAAATTGATGGAGAAATTCGAAAGGACCATCAGTGACTTCGAACAAGTAAGTATAGTAGTGGCGTGCAATGCTACTCATGTTAGCAACAATTTAAAAATGTGAAAAGCAGAAAACAAAAATGGAGATCATCCGACATTGAGCCGCTCCGTTTCCGTAATAAATCCTGACATGTTGCCTACTCACAAAACTTGATTGTGAATTTTACCATTGTTGCATTATCACATGTCGCCAATAAATCTCCTGTAAATTTTAGAATGTCGCCAAATTCAATTTAATGTCGCATTTCACCAAAAAAGTAGGCTCAAATGCGATAAATCGCCACACCTGGCAACATTGCCCCTGGCCGGTGGAAATCGGCCAACGCTCTGCGTCGCCACGGCTCGAGTGTCGATGGCTTGCAGAAAGCAATGCTTTTTCGCTCCATATGAATTTCTCTTGATCAACGCAATTGCTTTGCTTCTATTTTAAATGGGATGTTTATTTGCTTACACAGACTAGAGCGCCAATAGCAGCGGCGCAGGGGGTGGTTTATATTAGTTTTTACGGATTGTATCGTATTATTATGAGTTGTAAGAGTATTCAGACATATAGTAGATCTATTTCAGAAATAAATGTACAGGGTGCTTTCTAAGTACTTGTAGACAATTCAGGAGCATGTTGCTGACGTCAAAATAAGAAGGAAAGTTCGTATAAATATCTGTCCGAGAGTTATTCGTTTCTGAGATACAGAGTGTCAAGGTTGAATTTTTATATTTGTTTTTTGTTAGGTAGAGGTCGCTGGGAACAACTGTTTTTGAGATTGAAATTTGGCTCGTAAGATTTTGCGCAATTTTTCTCTTGCTTGTCTGTGGATCTTCTTCGATTGCCTGAAGAACAGCTTCTTTAATTTCTGTAGTCCTAGTATTCTACGGTCTGCCTATCACTGGAGCTTTTCTTAGAGGATCCAGACTCCCATAAGACGCTGAAAAAGGTTTCTGAATGTCTGGTGATTCGGCAGTCGATGGTTAGGAAATCTTTCATTCTATTTGTAAAATTTGTATATCGCTACTTCAAAGTTGGGAACCAACTCCCCAGAAGTCGAAACTTGTGCGGGGTTAGGAAGAGCGGGACCTACAGCTTATAGTGGAATCCGAACCACTTCTAGGGCATCGAGGTGCTATTGTTATTTTTTTAAATTGGAATAGTCCAAAAAAGTAAGAATCATCTTTTGCCGATATTCCAATGTTGAATGTAGGAGAATATTGAATGAAAGAAGAAAAATGCACTGACGTATCTTTTCTGATATTTACTACTTAAAGGCGACTAACCCCAATAACTCGAAAACAGTTGCTCGCAGCGACCTCTACCAGGAATATCACTTTTTACGCAAAAGTGTTCTAGGAATCTAATTTTCTATTATAAAACATGATACAGGTACGCTCAAAAAAGTTATGACTTTTCAAAAGACTCAAAAGACATGTATAGGTGGCGCCACCCCCACGAAAGAGAGAAATTAACATAAAATTTGATATTGTCATTGAAAAATACCCCTAGATACCAAATTTTATTCCAATATCATAATTATCTATTAATTAAAAACAAAAATGAGAATTGAACTTTGACACTCTGTATCTCAGAAAAGAATAACTTTCGGACATATATTTATACGAACTTTTCTTCTTATTTTGACGTTAGCAACATGCTCCTGAATTTTCTACACGTACTTAAGAAACACCCTGTATATTCGCAAAAGAAAATTATGTAAAAAACTGTGTAACGATAATTTTAATTTTTCAAGGTTAGGCAATGCTTTATGCTTCTATTGTATGTACACCACTGATTAGTATAGTTACCTCTGTTTGACATTTAATAATACATTGTAAAATTTCATAGAAATATTTATTTCTTGGATTTATTTTTCATTTCTACTATTTTTTTCGAAAATCTCAAACAGAAAAAAAATAAAAAACATTTAGTACCATTAGAAAAATTGTTGACAGTCGCTGACGTTACAGTTGGGATTTGAAGAAATAATGATCAGAGCCTACTTATAGTATCTGATGAGTCATTTTATTTTTCATTTGCTTTTTTGTTTTTCCAAAATCGGCTGCATATCACAGTTTTCAAGATATGTGATCTTTCTGAAAATATTCACCGACGTAGTAACTATAGTCTCCACAAAGCAAAGTGACTTTATAAAGACCATTGTCGATCTTAATGGAAAAGCTAGTTAGTAGGCGAGAGGTATAATATTGTCTGTTCATTAATCCAAAATTTGTCTGCCGCTACTGTATACACTGTCAAGAGCTGTTTCAGGTTGAATTTGTCTTCCTCATTTTTTTTCAAAACATTACTCAACCAGTCAACCACAGATATTGATAAAAGAAAAGAATATTTGTAACTGACAGTTTTGACCTGTGGTGATTGACAGTTTTTGAATTATCTTTCTCAGTCTCAAATCAGGAGCATTAGCCACTATTTCACTATGGAAAGAAGCTGATATATTCGCCAACATACTCATATACTTGATCAACTCTACTTTTCGAGCAAAAAGATCCAACAATCAACAGTCCTCAAATGGCGATGGCGGTACCAGGAATAATAGAAGCTATGCCAGGAGTAGATATAGTTTTCTAACAGTGAACAATGACGTGAACATAACAAACCATCCCTATACAATGTGTTAACCTAGGTGCTAAAAATTATAGCCATCAGAATCATGTGCATTTGAACCATGGACATTTATCACATCTAATATATATATATAATAGTTATTTATGTATCAAGGGCGTAAAGTAGGCGTTTATGGCCTGTGGCGTGAATAATGGCCCGATGGCGCTAGCCGAGGGCCATTACACGCTGAAGGCCATAAACGCATTTCACGCACGAGATACATACAAAATTTTATGCACTAGTGGTTTATTTTCTGACTCATAAGTAATGACTATAGATTTCGATAAACTAATATTCCCCAGAATTTAATTTGTTACGTATAAATTCAGTAATCAAGAGAAGCGTAATATTCATGGATGATTTACATATGAAAATTATCGTACGAATATTGCAATTATCGTAATAGTAAAACTCTTTCAGCTGTAGAAGAGATTCATTCTTCAGAATTTTACAATATGCATACCCAGTATATAAACCTTTTTGACGTTGTCAATCAATCTGATGGTTGTTGTCTATAGCAATACATCCAATAAACGAGCTGAATTGTCATTCTTTGATTGAAAAGTAAAATTAGTGATAATAATAATAGCGAGACTATGGAATCGGATGAAGAAGAAGTTTATGATATACCGCTGGATATATAAGAATCTAGGAAAATGATCATAGGTTTCTCATGAATTGATATGTGGATATAAGGTAACTCAGAACAGCGGGCGGTAACGGGCTCATTATGGCCCACGGGCGGTAAAGTTCAACTTAACGCCCGCAAAACCGGGCGGTAAAGTGCACTTCACGGCCCTCTAGTGCATAAAAATATATATAAACTAGCTGACCCGGCAAACGTTGTTTTGCCATGAACATTATTACTAGAAGATATTTTTTTAGTGAAATTAAAAATAACTAACTTACTATAAGTGTATGGAGATGTGGTTATAATTGAAAGAGGAATGGAACGTTGTAGACAACGACGGCCTTCAAAATGAAAATACACTAACGATTTCTGTATTTCATTCTTTATACTTCATCAAATTAACAAACATATTTCAAATTACATATTTTGATACCTATATATATGTACATCAATAATAGTTATACATATTTCTACTACTAACTATGGCAATTACAAAATAATTCAACATGAATCTCCAAGTGCAATGGAGTGGACTATGTTTTTGGTTAGTCCGTCTTTAGCCAATACGAACAAACTTGAATTCTTGAATTTCCTGATTCTGACAAAGGAATCAGATCTGCGACCCCGACAACCCCCAGATACTAATTTTGAAAATCGGACCATAAACGCAAAATTCGTCCGCCATATCGGATCCGCCATCTTGAATCTGAAAATTTTGACAAAAGAATCATTATCTCCGACCCCGAAAACCAACCGATACCAATTTTAAATAGAATCTGACCATAAATACAAAAATCTTCCGCCATATTGGATCCGCCATTTCAAATTTCCCCATTTTGACAAATGATTCATATCTCCGACCTCTTAAACTCCAGATACCAATTTTGAATAGAATCTGACAATAATTACAAAACTCGTCCGCCACATTGGTTCCGCCATTTCGAATATCTAAATTTTGACGGACGAACCATAATCTCCGACCCCGAAAACCCTTTCAAAATGTGGTTGAAAATTCTAGTCGTATGTTCAAACAAGACTTTGAAAACCATATGAATGAATGATTCTTATTGTAATTATGTGAACACTGAATGTTATAACACAGATATTTTCATCGGGCTAAGTATTCTGAGGATTATGTTTTGATCAAGAAGAAGAGTTTAAAATTATAAGAAGGTGATGCATAAACGTATCATAGTCCTTAAATAAGAATAAACTTAATGACAGTTGATGAAAGCAACAGATACATGAAAAAGCAGTGTGCATAAATTCACTTCATTTATCTTTGATATATCGTTGCGGTACCTATACAGTGTGTCCCAAATTCGATCCTCACCATTGGGATCTCAGTAACTATGAGAGATAGAGAAACGGTTGAATCAGCAAAGTTGTAGCAAATTTAATGTTGAATCAGAATCTATCGAGAAATCCGGACTAGCTCCAGTCATTCTTGAGTTATTTGAGAAGAACTGAAATCTTGTATTTTTGTTTTTCGCGAATATCTCGGAAACTATTGATTTTGAGAAAAAATGACTTCATTATTCTCATAGCACTTTTTGGTGCTCTTTTCAATGGTTTTGTCAGTTTTCCATCAAAATGTCAAATTTCTGAGATATCACCTACAACTTCAATTTTTCTTATGGACGCCATATTGGATTTTCACAGATTTGAAATCAGCATACAATTTTCTTTCTAGTGATGTATCACACTCCCAGTTTTATTCTATTTAAGGTAAGTACTGATTTCCAATTTTTGTTTTTATGTCCAGTAGGCTATGAATTCTGTAACTAATAAATAATAACACTGGAAGTCATCTCCACGACAATTCATTTTGTTGTGTTATTAGTTACTACTTCACTCCACCATGACTTTTACCAGAGATTAAAAAAAATTAACAGGTCAAAAATACAAATACTAAACAAAAAAATCAATTGACCTGCTCGAAATGGCCCCCATTGTTCTCGATACATGAACATGATTCGCTGCTTTTCTCAGATGAACTATGTTGATGTTCTGGAATGTGTCCATCACTCTATCTAGTAATTTCCTTTTTGGCGTAGCCCCACAGGTAAAAATCGAGAGGCGTACAATCAGGCGACCTTGGAGGCCATCTCACAGGTCCATGAGTAATAATTAATTTAGCACCAAATTGATTTTCGAGATATTCACTAACCGATCGCGTATTGTGAGGTGGGGCACCATCTTGCTGAAACCACATTAACTCATGTTCAGCAAGTGATATCTCGTATATGAAATTCGAAATCTCATTTCTCAATAGCTTTAAATTACGTGGACTATTCAAGTTATAATCGTAGATTATTGGAACTAATAGTCTACTGCCTGCAAAAAATACACAATGAGAAATAGTTATTTATGGACAAACATTCTAGTAAGGTACCAAATATTGAAACCAAAATTGTTCTGCCTCTTGATTCTCTGATGACATGCGGATTATTTTGTGCCCACTAATGATGATTATGTTTATTGTAAATTCAATTATTATGAAATTTCGCTTCATCGGTCCAGCAGATATTCGATGGATAGTTCTCGATTATTTCACACTGGTTGACGAACCAGTGACAAAACTCGAGACGACGTTCATTTTCACCAGGTCTTAACCCTTGTACTATCACTGGTTTGAAAGGGTGGTACTTATCATTCAGTAAATGTCTGAGAATTGTTGTTTTCGGCACAAGAGTTCTCCGACTAAGCTCTCGAATTGAAATGGTAGGAGTTTGATTGATGCTTCCTTCGATATTTGCAATTTCTTGGTCATCCAAGCGCAAACCATACCTTGGCCTAGGTGCAATGAAGCTTCCATGCTCTTGTAAATTTCTTTGTAATGTTAGAAAAATCGAAGGATGCGGTTGTTATCTTTCCCGATATAAATGGAAGTATTGTCTAGCTGTTTCTCTGTTATTTCGATTATTTCTGATGTAACAATTGTTGTACATGTCAAAGCCTACTCTATGGAATCGTTATTGTTTCTAGAGAGTTTAGCGCATAGCCTACTAGACATAAAAACGAAAATGGGAAATTAGTACCCCAAATAGGATAAAACTGTGATTGTGATACATCACTAGAAAGGAAATTTCATGCTGATTTCAAATCTGTGAAAATCCAATATGGCGTCCATGAGAAAAATTGAAGTTGTAGGTGATATCTCAGAAATTTGAAATTTTGATGAAAAAATGACAAAACCATTGGAAAGATCACCAAAAAGTGCTATCAGAATGTTGAGGTCATTTTTTCATAAAATCAATAGTTTCCGAGATATTCGAGAAAAACAAAAATACAAGATTTCAGTTTTTCTCAAATAACTCAAGAATGACTAAAGCTAGCCCGGATTTCTCAATAGATTCTGATTTAACATTAAATTTGCTGCAACTTTGCTAATTTAACCGTTTCTCTATCTCTCATAGTTACTGAGATCCCAATGGTGAGGATCGAATTTGGGACACACTGTATATGAAACCATTAAAAAGATGATAGTCCTGTCCCGCTTCATTACCATCATGAATCTTGTTTCAGGACTTATTAGAAGAAACAGAAGAATCACTTCAGAGAATCCTAGACAAACTAGAACTCAAATACTTCAAGTACAAGCTACAGGATGACCCTGTAGCTATGACAATAACCCTTTCGACGGATACTCCATTTACCACGATGGCGGTGGCTGATGATGAAGCAACAGCAACGGCGAAAGCTCTAAGTACCGTTTTTCAAATAATCAATCTTTATACGAGGCTGTGAGATGTGATTCTTTGTTAGGGAAGGAGGTCTGTTCGCTGTTTCTGCATGAAATTTATATTCTAACCTACAAATTTGTAAAATACACTTTTTGGTTAGGACGAGTATAGTGGAGTGGAGTGTGGTGAATATATCCTGTTCATTTACATTATCTATTTTTTATAAATCAAGAATTTTGTTGATTTTCAAATAATAAATCTTCATAGAAGACTTTGAGATGTTATTCTTTGTTACGGTGCCATTCTCTAATAGTATATTATACACTTAGGGTGAGAAGTCAGCTATTAGCTAAGTGCCGAAGAAAATGTTTAATCACAAAAAATTATTTTTCTTATGTTATAAGTTGTCTCTCTATTCATAATCAAATGGTAGTCTATTTTTTTTCACAATATTTTTTTTATCGCTTGGAGCGCACGAAAGGGAATCTTCTGGAGATTATATGTTGTTGGGGATACTTCCTCAGGCAATGAATTCCAGAGCCTAGCCGTTCTATGGATGAAGGAGTTTTGATAAAGTGCTGTTCGACATCTTTCCAGGTTGACAACGAAAGGATGTGCTGACTGGGCTTGTCTAGTTCGTCTGATTGGTATTGCTAGTGAAGGGATGATTGCAGAGATTTCCGAAGAACATTTCCCGTGAAAGTATCGATAGAAAAGTGAAAGGTCGCCGACCTTTCTACGGTGTTCCAATGATGTCAAAGAGTGAGTGAGTGTGGCGTCACCCACCAGGCGAATGGCTCTTCTCTGGATGGAATCTAAGAGCATCAGCGTATGTTTTGGTGCTGAACCCCATATGTGGGAACAGTATTCTAGAACAGGCCGTATCTGCGCTTTGTAGATCATGAGAAGCTGTTGAGGTGTAAAGTAGTTTTTCGCACGGAACAAGAATCCGAGTTTTTGTGAAGCAATGGATTGAAACCCCCTATAGCAGCAGAAAAACTGTCCGTTTTTTAGGATTATCACCCGATGATTTTCTGATTTCAGCGAAACCCATTTGGTGGGTGGTAATAATGCAAACATGCGGTTCCCATAATTATCCATTTGCTATCACTTTTGACAGCTATAGATGGAATTCATTTTTTTATTTCGGGTTTCGATATGGGGTTGGTTGTAATAATTCCCCCCCCCCCATTATTTATTTTTCATGAAGAATCTATTTTTAGCAGTAATTGAATGGAATAAAAAGTTTTGGAATATCGTTCATTTTCTTATAAATAAATGGTCGATTCGATGAAAATGTGAATTCAAACCCCCCTGTCAAAAAAACTGTCCCTTTTTGGGGGTTGGCTGGATGATAATATTTTATAGAACCACATGAACTATTTCATACCAAAAATTGAGAAAAATCAACCAGGACAAAATTTACCATAAAATTTTGCGGGGTCCTTTCGTGTTCAATTATTTTGTATATTTACAGTTTTGAGGTAGAGTCAGCGATTTCCGAGTTATACAAGAAAAAATGACCTTCAAACGCATCCCTACTCCCCCGCTCATCTCCAACGGGCCAGGACTTTTAGTATGTTGTTCTTGGCACTTTCCTTTCCTATTCGACCTTTTTTGGCCTTCGTTGATTGAACTAACATTCGTTCGCACATTTTTATCACTATTATTATTACAACGCGGATGCTTAGTATATCAAAGGACCCCGCTAATTTTTGAGGTAAATTAGGTCCCGGTGGATTTTTCTCAAATAATATATTCTCATCGAGCCAACCCCCAAAAATGGACAGTTTTTTTGCCTGGGGGATTTGAATTTACATTTTGATCGAATTGACCATTTATTTCTGAGAAAATGAACGATATTCCCAAACTTTTCATCCCATTTAATTACTTCTTAAAATAGATTCTTCATAAAAAAATATAATGGGGGGGGAATTATTACCCCCAACCCATATTCTGAGAACAAAAAAAAGAATTCCATCTAACTGTCAAAAGTGATAGGAAATGTTTCATCACGGATAATTATGGAAACCGCATTTTTGCATAATTACCTCCCGTGAAATGGGGGGTGCGAATGAAAAAAAAATCGGTGGTTTTCGCTGAATTTTTGATATAATGTAGCCGATATGATTCTGATCAGAAAATCATCGGGTGACAATCCTAAAAAATGGACAGTTTTTCTGCTATAGGGGGTTCCAATTCACATTTTGAAAAAAATAGACTACCATTTGATTCTGAATAGAAAGACAACTTTTTTCAATATTGTATTCCTATTCCTTAATGATTTTTCATTCAGAAATACCTTAAAAAATCCACGCTACTGTTAGAAGCATATGAAAATGTTTGACCACGAGAAATTATATGGAAAAAGCATAGACTCATTGAGTGAGAAGTGTTGCAAAAATTGATTTAGGTCCCTATAACGACCCAGTGGAGTAATTGAATGCCAATAATGGGCTTATATCACAAAAAAAAATTATTTCATAATTCGATAGAACTCACCCAAACTAGCTCACCACCGCAAACCGTTTCTTGCTGTGAGCTCCCTACGTTTTATAAAAAATTATTGAAATCCCCGATTTTTCGGACCTCTGAAAACGAGGCGATGATGTGACGTCAAAACCCCAATACTGAAACAAGACTATTCCAGACAGAGATGAATGATACATGATTTCTGACAGAGTGAATTAGCGCGAGATCACAGTTGAAAGAATTAATATATCAGTTGCCTCAGTCTCCGTCGGGCGTTTGGTATTTTCTTTTAACTATGGCGACATGAGGTTTCTACGTCATCAGAGGGTCCGTTTTCAGATGGTACTATTTTTTATGTCCAAAAATAAAACATTCCGGTTAATTTTTCGATCGAATTATGTTGCTAATCATTATTTATGTATAAAAGGATCATTATTAACATGGTTTGAGTTAAAAGTTCTACTAAGGTATACACGCCCATTCATTATCAGTCCACTCGCCCTTTGCGTTGGTCGAAATAATCGTTCGCATTAATTTTTTGCGTCACTAGATGACGATAACATGACTAGATCTAGACTAGACTATTTTGATCGGAATGTGAATTTACCCCTCCCCCCCCCCCCCATTTGCTGAGGGCAATCATGCAAGAGAGCTTTTTCCATATAATTTCTTGTGATGAAACATTTTCTTATGCTTCTCACAGTAGCACGGATATTTTTTTATTCCTTATAAGGAATAGGAATACAATATTGAAAAAAAATGTCTTTCTATTCAGAATCAAATGGTAGTCTATTTTTTTCAAAATGTGAATTGAAACCCCCTATAGCAGAAAAACTGTCGATGTTTTTAGGATTGCCACCCGTGGATTTTCTGATCAGAATCATATGGACTACATCATATCAAAAATTCAGCGAAATCCACCGAAGTTTTTTTCATTTGCACCCCCCATTTGGTGAGGAGTAATAATGGATGGAATTCTTTTTTTTTTTCGGTTTTCAAAATGTGGGTTGGGGGTAATAATTTTGCCGCTCGACAAAAGACGACTGGGGAAACAGTGACGTCAGGCCAGAGAAATATGAGGCAACCTTATAGAGTTAAATAGCCTTGCCTCAGCCTCAGCCAACCATCGTGTGACATCAACATCTGTGTGATGTAACAACCTTGCATAAATGCAATATCTCGTTAACACATCTTATATCGACGTAGATTCGATATCAACGTCGCAAGGTGACATCGCAACCAGGAAACTATGTAATGTGGCAGCGACTTCTTCAAACTACATCTCTTCGACGTTAACTAAATAATTCACATTAATATCCTCATGAGATATCTTTGTGACCTGTGAGTGTACGGGAGACATGCGCAAAACGAACGCACACGCCAGTCGCCATGTTGAGCTGTGCATGGCCATGTCAGTCAGTCAGTCAGTGAGTGAGTCCGACTCCGTACAGACTATTTCCTTTCAAATTCTCTGTTGAAATATCTGAGATGATTTATAGCACATATTATAGCAGCTTCAAATTGGAGGTATACATGATACAGGTATCATTTAGGAACGACGGTGAGTTCAATCACAATAGGTAATATTGTAATTATCTCTGAGATAGGAATATTGCAATCTGAAACAAGGTGGATGAAAGATCCCAAGATAATGTAAGTGTATTTGATATGTATCATTAATGAATAATGTATATTTGTATTGCTATATATATGTGTCATGTTTTACTTCAAGATTACTAATTAGGGTCATTGTCATGATAAGTTTTGTATCATCTGTTTTTACTTTCGGAAAATAAACATTTTCTTCGTAAAGTTGAATAATAATTATTATTATATATCCCACGAATATCACAGTGTGATGTATTTGTAATATGAAATGTACACTTGTATGTGATGTCGCATTTCATGTCTGAACGACGTCACAGTGATGTTGCTTGAGTCGGACATTTTCACATCGCCACGTTGTATCGGTAACATGTTTGTGACTTGAAATGAGATATCGCATGTCACAAAGTGATGTGGCGTATACATCACTTATACATCTCATATGGTTGGCTGGGTCTTGAAGAGGAAACAAGCACATGATAATTAAATTTCAGAAGATAATGAATTCGCCACTCAAGGGTCAAAAAGGGCACTCTCAATGATCAGGCATGAATGAATATTATTTTTGGGGGGAGAGGGGGGGCACGGCCTCCCCTTGCCCTGCAGTGGCGACCGTGTGCGAGTGTATTAAAATAATGAAATGAAAGAAAACAAAGATTTATTTCCTACTATTAATATTCATACATTTCCTACCTGCACTTTTGACGCGTTGTGACGGAATAAAAATTGAAGGTTTTCGGGGTCGGAGATTTTGGACTTAAATCGAAATATATATTCAATTCAGAATTGGTATGTAGGGGGTTCTCAGAATCGGAAATCATAAATTTGTTGCCGAAATTCATGGATTCAAAATGCCGGCTCCAAAAGATGACGGACGCGAAAGGATTTGCTGAGAATACGAAAAAAAGAAAAATGTGTCATACCTACCTATATCGGTATGGCGGAC